ATAGGAAGCGACCTAGCTATTTCCACACTCACATTGGTGAAATCTGTCGAGAGTGCTCATGTAAGCTTAACACTCCACCCATACGGGCTACATATATTCATTAAGAGTTTTATCAACTCAACCTTCACAAACTACAGGAAACAATGCACTCACATCATAGGGAGGGAATAAAAAGATAGTGCATTTTTTTACAACAAGTCATCATATGATTAGTTTTTCCTTTTGAACCTGGTTATAGGATTTCTAGTCCCCAGGTTGGGTTTCCTCATATATGACTCAAGGATTTGTAGGCTTCAATCCCATCCCCTAGATGTGCTCCAAACCTTTTCTCTTGCTAAGGCCTTAGTAAGAGGATCTGCAAGATTATCACAGGATTTGACATAATCAACATTAAATGGTACCATTTGTCAAATAATGATCTTACATTAACTGTGTTTCCTCCTTATAGGTCTGGATTTACTGTTGTAATAACGGTTTTGAACTCTAACAATTGCAGCGGTGCTATAACAATGAATTAAAATATGAGGAATTGATTTTTCAAAATAAGATATTTGAAATAATAAATCTCTTAACCAATTCGTTTCCTCACTAGCTGAAGCTAAAGTAATTAGTTTAGCCTCCATGGTAGAGTTAGCAATTATAATTTGCTTTTTTGATCTCCAACAAATAGCACCCCAACCTAAAGTAAAGACATAACTAGTGGTAGAACATGAATCACCTGATAAAGTGTTCCAATCTGCATCACAAAAGCCTTCAAGTACAGCAGGATATTTTTTAGTGAAAAATTACAATATAACAAAAATTCAAGATTAAAAAAAAAAATAAAAAAAATCAAGATTACAATTGAAAATAAGTAATGTTAGTTTTAAAGCTTTAAGGAGAGTCTAAAGGTGGCATCACTAATATCACGACAAGCATTTCACTTCTTATGTAATGTATGTATGTATCTCCTTCATCTTTTGAGTTTACTCTGTACTTGCTCTGCTTTTGGGTTGATCTCGAGGTGTGTTTTTCATTTAATCAAATCTATGTGTTCGAATATATATGTTCATATTGTTTATTTCGACTGAATTTTGAGCTTTTTGCTTCTTTCGGAGCCATGGAAATTTCTAATTTTGACGCCCTTATTTTTATTGGTGCCTAAAGCCACTGCTTTAGTGGGATTGTGCTCTTTACAGTGTCATAGATATCCTCCTATATATACTTCACACTTATTTACTTACTTCACAATCACACTTTTATCATTAAACTATACATGCTACAATTTGTTTATATTATTGTTTACAAATGCAACTCTTATCAAATAGGAGAAGATTATAAGGTCGTTAAAATAACTAAAATCATAACATTAAAATGCATACATGTATAACTAAATATTCCACTTTGAACTGAAATTCATTTTCCCTCTTCTTCCGCAGGTACTTCTTCTTAAGCTCTCACTGAACATTGGAAAAAGATGCAGCACTACGTAAATAGTGCAAGATGTAAATAACACAGCCACAAACGATTGTCAACTGTATATATAACATCTATGTATATATATATATACATATAACCTTTAAACGAAATGTGTGTGTGAGAGACTGTCTCGGTAGACTGAATATGCCTGCTAAGGGTAGTTGAGTCATTTAAGCTGATTTCTTTTTTCTCATTGGTTCAGATTATTGCAGCTTTGTTTTCCTTGTAGCTGTAAAGACATTTTAAAGCCATATTGCATTGCCCAGTGTGGGCTCCACTTATGTTGACTTGCATGCCACCCTTTTTAACTATTGAAACTTATGGAGTAATATATTTTACAATGTTACGCCTTCAACATTGAGATACAAGTTTTAAACAATAATATTTAATCCAAATAAAATTATAATTTTAAAAATTGAATTCAAAATCAAAGTTGTAGGCTTTTTAATATCGATTGTGGAGAGTGGACCTATTTATTATTGATTAAAATACATTTATTATCAGTTAACGAACAATTCGCTAAATATGGATGTGAGGGAGTACAATAAATAAGAAGTACGAAAAAAAATTGCCAATAAAAGAAGGAATACGAGTGTGTTGACCTTTGTTTATTTTGAATAATAATTTGAAAAACAGCTTCAAAACATTTGCAAAGGTATCTCTTTGTTTCTTGATAATTTCTGCTTGTGATTAGCTTAAATGGATCTCGATTAATTAATTGCAGTTGTCAAAGAAGACAAAACAGATGAATAATCCTTCTTAGGCTGATTAAACCATTGTGTCCTCATTTGTCAACAAACCCATCAATTGTTTAATTAAAGATAATGACAAAAGTTTAGTCCTTGTTTCACAATTATAAACAAATGGTGTCCCACATTTGGAAAAAAATATAATCATTTGGACAAAACCTCTTAGCCTAATAATAACAAAGCAGAGACATTAAATCTGCAAATTGCAATAATTGTTATCCTCTCTATTGACTCTTTCTGCCCTGCAAGAGAAATGGCTTATGCTGCTATTTCTTCACTTATGTATACATTGGAACAACTCCTGAAGCCTAATCACTCTTTGGTTTGTCCAAGTTCTACACAACAACATGTTGAATCTCTCTATCAAAATCTCTCTGCTCTGCAAGATTTCCTTGATGATACTACCACAAAGGATATTGAAACTCTTAAGGTATATATGTAATTCATTAAATCTAGCTTACTGATGTTATATATATTCTTTTTAATAATAATTAATTTATCGATTTTCAATTTCAAGGTTATAGAAAAGAGGATCAGAAATGTAGTTTACAAAGCAGAAGATAGAATTGATTCAAGTCTAAGAAGCATCATTGTAGCAGATCACGAGGACAAGCGGCAAAAGGCATGTACATCCTTTTATGAAGAATTGTTGAAAGTGGAACAACAAGTTTATTTTCTCAACAAAGAGGTGATGTTGATCGAGTTTAACAACCATGGAAGCAAATCTGCAGAATTAGCAAGAATTTCCTCCTCACTAGAAAAAAGTACAATCGAGGAAAATACTATTGTTGGGATGGAGGATGACTTCAACATCATACTTGATCGCGTTACTACCCAAACAGACGAGTTAACTGTCATACCAATTTTTGGTATGGGCGGTATAGGTAAGACAACTCTTGCCAGAAAAGTTTATGATGATTCATACATTCGTTCTCGATTTGATAAACAAGCATGGGTCACTATCTCTCAAGAATACAATGAGAGACAAATGCTTCTTGAACTTGTCTCTTCAATTACTGGAAGCAAGAAAGAAACAAGCGATGATGAACTAATGGAGATTGTGTATAGAGGTCTTAAGGGTAGGAAATTTCTAATTGTCATAGATGATATTTGGGGTACTGAGGCATGGGACCAAATCCAAAGAATACTTCCCAAAGATAACAATAAAAGCCGAATTCTATTAACCACTCAGCTCAAGTATGTTGCTGATTATGTCAGTTGTCCTGATTTTC